AAAAAGTGGCTAACTAGTAAAATGTTGCTGATATCCTGATAAACATTTTACTAGTTAACCACTTTTTGATACCTTTCAAAAGAAGTGAGATATATAGGCTCAAAGTGGACGTTCCGGGTGTCGTTCTATTAGAGGTTTTACGGTACATTCCAGACGCAGACATTATAAACGGAATAAATATTTTAGTCTTCTTGGCGCTCTATTCCAGGAACCAAGTTAGAAAAGTAATGGCAATTTTTGATTCATCATCAAAAGAAAGGCCGAAAATGCCGAAGGGCTATTTCTCAGTTTTCTTCAGTAGCCGATGAAACAGAGACATATAAATTTTGCTCGCTTTATGCACGGCTTGGGCACACACAGACGAGGGGGTCGCCCATCAAAATGACATTAGTTGGGATACGGAGGAATAGCTGTAGGAATTATGTAAATCAAGGGAGAGAGAAATTGGAAGGGTGAAGTATATCATACTTGCAAAATCTCGGGCCGGCCCGGGGTACTTACAGACGTTGATTTTTTTGAATTTTTTTTCGAAAATTTTGAAATTTTTTCAAAAATTTAAACAAAAACGACCAATTTTTGACTACTTTCTACTTTGTAATTTTGGTTAATAATGTACCCTTTTTTCTTTTTAATTAAAAAAAAATTACCCAAATTTACATTGGAAATTTTTCAACTGTGGTAGGCGGGCCAGCCCCGGGCCGAGAAAATTCGCCTACCGGCCCGGCCTTTTGCAACTATGAAGTATATAGACTGGTTTCAAAAACGCTTTAGTACCATCTTTCACGGCCCGCTGGCAGGCGAGACGTTGATTAGCCTCGCTTAGATATTAATTGGTCTAGGAGCATGTGGATGGTGGTGGTGACCCTTTTGTTGGTTTTATGGGCGTACTGAATGAATAGAAAAACGATTTTATGACTCAAAACTGCCTCCCCCCACAATAGAGCATTGTTTCTTCTTCTTTTTCTCTATTTCTTCAACATTTTCTTTTTCGTCTAACCCGATGACTCTTGCAGGGCCAGTCTCAAAAACATGGCTATTCGGGTACAAGATAGATATTGTGGTGAGATGGCTCTCGAGTGCCATTGGAGCAAAGATGAGTCCCAGAAAGCGAAGAAGGGGAAGAAGTGGAAGAGAAGGTCCACTTCATCATCAAAAGAGAACCCGCAGTTTGGTTCGGGGGTGGGTGGTGAGCACAGAGAGCACCCGACGGACAACAACACGAAAAAGTTTGCTTCTCCTCTCGGGTAATCTCGTTTTTGCATCGCTAGCCGATTTGGGACCACACAAAAACGGATGATGTTTTCTGGGAATTGGGGAATTCAAATTTTTGGTTGTAAAACTAGAAAATTTTGGTTGTGAAACTAGACACAACAGAAGAAGCTTTCCAGTAGTTTTTCGGCAAATCAGATGGTCCGAAGAAAAAGATGAACGAATTGATGTGGATGCCTATCTTGCCTAATCCAAACATGACACCGGAAAGAGAAAAGAAACAGACAAACACAGGCGGAACGCGCAAGAAAAAAGAGGGACTACCGAAAACGAGGGGGTATGCTTAAGAATGAATGATCGTGTGTGCACTCTCTAGTGTTCTGCGTCGGTGTGCGTCTGTCACTGTGCGTTGTGTGTATGTCGGCAATTCATCAAAAGGACGGTACACTTGATGTCTTGCATTCTCTAACCCTCTATTCCACACATGGTGCATTCTTTTCAGACTGACTGGAACGCATGGAACAGCTATTACAATTCGGCAAGATGCAAAGCTTTGTACGCTGGTGATAACCTTATTGGTTCAGTTTTGTAACTATTATCAGAGATGTCCTGAATGACTTTTTGGGCGAAGGGGATCCGGAACCGGTAGTTAAAGGTGGGGGGACATGAAAAAATAATGTTCTCGAAATTCTGTTCAAAGATGCCCCTCGAGGAGTTGAACTTGTGAGGGCGATGATTGAGGGTGCGGCGCCGCTACCGACTGAGCCACGCGGGCAAAGAGAAAGCGCACGCCCGTTTGCATACATAAAGGCGAGGACGACAGCTGTACGCAGAGTGACATTTAGCGTTGTACACCGTGACGGTAGAATGCATACTCTAGCTACAAAAAAACTACGAAAAATCTCCTGTCCCCCCACCTTTAAATAATTTTCTCGTAATCCGGAAATGAAAATTTACGGAATCCGGAATATCCGGAATACTCGAAAAAATGACTAAAAGGAGCGGAAAGGGAATATTTATAGTAGTGAGATTAACAGCAGATTATCTTTTCTTTGATCATTACTAGGCTTTACGACCCATAAAATTTCCAACAGAGATGCGGTAAACTTGTGAGGTTATGATAGAGCACCTTTAATCCGTATTTGCACTGGTGTGACAGTAGTCAAACAGCTGGTTGTGTCATTCGATGAATGAAGAAACACCATTCAAATCTCAGATATCTCGACTACCTAACCTTATACACTCGGCTATAAATAATTAATGAAAAAAACGAGCCAGCATAAGAAATTGGAAGGGATGGTGGGGGCTATAGAATTCTATTGTATTATTTACAAGACGATACGGGTCAATTCGAAAAATGGTGGTGGGGATGAGCGAGGGGACAAAAGACACCAAACACATGCAACACCCTTTATTCCTCTGCCTGCGTCCAATACTATTTTGCACCACTAATTTCGGCGTTTGTTTGAAGTTGAAAAAAAAACGAAGTCATTAAGCCGTGGGAAACTTTAAATGCAAAAAAGAGAAGAGCAAGGAGATATAAATTATGTCACATAATCTTTTCCAATCAACCGTAACAAACAGTTCCCATCTGCTGCTCCCGCTCACCAGCTGCCGAATCTCAGTAGTTAATTTTCGCAGATATAGTCTCACGCCGTCACGCAATTAGATACCATCTTCGTCGCATACCAAATGTTACCTTACCGACTCATCCATTCGAAAGAAGCCAAAACGATCAGATATGAACCCCGGTGATTGATACGAATGGAGAGTATCTTTGTCGGCGAATCGTTTGAAAAATTCGCTTTTATGGAGTCCAAAGATCTTAAATTGTTTAACGATATTTTTAACAGTTTGAATTTTTCTAGTAAGAGTATTTAAACGGAAAGAAAAACCGAATAGAAGGAGATGAACACTAATTTTGCATTTTTGATCAAAATAGTATGTGAAAACTAAACGCCAGAACTACAATTGTTGGCTCGTAAATGTGGCAGCAGGTATACAAACATTCAGATCGCACAGAAACGAAAAGTAGTGGAAGAAGCAGTTGAAGATAAAAAAAGTTAAAAGCAGAAAAGGGAATCTGGAGAAAAAAAATCGGCGACGGAATTTATTTTTCGCTGTGGCGGGGCTACTGTACCTAAGCTCCGCCTATTTTTCGAAAAAAACACATTTTTTCCGAGATTTTTCGAGAAATTTTCCGAGGAATGCGTTTTTCGAGATTTCTCAAAAAATGTGCAATATAGTCATGAATTTCAAACTGTCGTTCCTTGTATTTTTCCCGCTTGTTTGGTCATTTTGAAGTGATGGCCTATTTTTTTTCAAGTTGGGATTTTCT